CTTTAATTTCTTTATTTTTTTGCAATTTTTTATTTTTTTTGAAAACAAGCAATATCAATATTGACTTAATAAGAAAAATTAATGATTATAAAATTAACGCATTAAAAGTTGAACAAGTTTAAAATACCTTAGAAAATTTAAATTCTTATGAGATGACATTAAAAATGCTAAAAACGATACAAATATATCAAAAATGCATTTTTTAAAGTTTTCATTATTTTTTGTTTCTTTGTTTTTTTTAAAAAAATTTTTTTATCAAAAGCATAGGTAAAAAATTAGGTAGGAATATATGGCATGCTAGTGTACACTGATAAGTTCCATAGAAAAAAGGACTAGGGATTATAGTTGAGGGCAACTCCGAGGAGATTTCCTGGTGAAAATGATGGCTAGTGGTTAAGGGAAATGATTAGTGGGTCAGGGGCAATTCTAATTCCTATATCACAAGGCTATGAAATGATAGAACATTCTAAAACTGTTACAAGGGTTTATTCATGACAACAAGGGAAAAAGTTTGACGTGAGAGTTATGGAGGATGTGACTGCTACTTAAATAATTAATATTTATGAACCCTAATATTAGTTAAGGTGCTACTCTTAGGCTAGATGATTTAGGATTACAATTGGTAGAGGATAGGGAAAAAAAAAGACTTGGCTCTAAGATACATGTTTTTAAGTCTAAGGTCTTTGATGGAGACTGCATAAATGATGGACCAATTTTCTTCACCATAGAGATTGAAAGCCCATCTGCTAAAAATTTACAAAAGGCATGTCCTAATGGTTAGGCCTGTCAAGAGCTATAACTTCATAGGGTGGTATTGTCGTGGGCTTGACAACTCACAGGTAATCCAAGCTCTTCAAGAGCTTGTTAATTTAAAACTACCAAATATAATGTTTTTATCTGAAACACTTATTAAATGTAGTAAAATTAAAACAATTATAAGGGAACTTAACTTTCATAATTACTTTGTAGTAGACATGTAAGGTAGGGGAGATGGCTTAGCTGTTTTTGAAAAGATATCACGTTTACTTTTTATAATAGGTTACTCCCAAAACCATATTAAATTGAAAATAATAAAGGCTGATGGTTTTAAATAAAGACTAACCATAATATATAGGTATGGGTGTAACAGACACAAAGAATTATGAGATCTTTTAAAGGTGTTATGTCATAGATCAAACCTGTATTAGGTTTATCTTAGAGATTTTAATGACATGCTTACAGTTGATGATAAAAGAGGAGCTCGTGAGCATCCACTAGTGTTAATACAAGGCTCTCGTAAGGTTGTGGATGAAAGTAATTTGATAGATCTTCCTCTTTAAGGGTATACATTCATATAGGAAAAGGACAGAAGCACAAATCAAAGAATAAATTCATAGGGAACTTTGTAATTTAATTTGGCTAGTTCACTTCTAAGATGTTGAATTGTATAATCTATTGGTCACAACTTCTTATCATAGTCCTATCATATTGGTTATCTGTAAATGCTTTCTACATTATAAACATGTCCACTTCATATTTGAAAATGTCAAAACAAGGTATTTAAGGCTTTATCCTTTGCTGTGTATGGTGTAGGAGTATTTAAGGGATATTGATATACTAGAATAATTTGAATCATGCATGAGAAAGCTCATACAATGGGGTAAGAATTTATTATAATAATTTAAAGATGAGATTCAAAATTGTTATACTCATCTTAAGATCATTACGGGATAATGCATCATTACAGTCTTACTCTAATTACCATGAGAAGTTGGCCCAATTATTAGCATAAGAAAAGGCCCACTAAAAATAACATGTTGAAAATTTTTTATTACGAGAAGGGAACTCTAATACATGTTATTTTCATGTTACAGCTATATCAAATATAAGAATAGAGTTATTAGATTGATTGATGAGATGGGTTGATAATCGAGGATAGGAAGTGTATGCAAGATATTGTGATTAATTACTTCACCTAACTGTTCGATGCAAGTCCTGACTTGGATAATAAAGTTATTAACTCTATTCATTCATGTGTATCAACTTTTATGAATGACATTTTGCTAGCACCATTTCAAAATGAAGAATTTAAGAAAGTTATATTCTAAATAGGTTTAGGCAAATCTCCCAATCCAAATGGGTTAAACATGAAAATTTATCAATAATTTTAGGATTTAATTAGAGCAAACATATCTAATATTTGTTGGGGTTGGTTAGCTAGCAAGACATTTCCACCATCATTAGTGAAGACTTTAGTGGTTCTTATCCTAAAAGTTGAAAAACCACAATTAATGAAGAACCTTTATCTGATTACTTTATGCAATGTCTTCACTGGTGTTGTATAAGATCATTGCAAAAATATTGGAAAATCGGATAAGGAATATCTTAACAACTATTATTTCACCTATATAAGCAACATTTGTCCCTAGCGGATCTATTACTGAGTAAAGTGATTGCTTATGAATTAATACATTTTATGAAGAGGTACACAAAAAGCAGGAAAGGTTGGGCAACATTGAAGATCGATATTAGTAAAGCATATGACATAATCATCTGGGAGTATTGAAAAAAAATTATATTGAAATTAAGTTTTGTTTTTGAATGGGTAGAGTTGGTGATGCTCTATATGAAGTTTGTTCCATATTTCATATGTTTTTATGGCACAAATATGAGACCAATAAAACCTTCATAGGGATTACATCAAAGGGATCCTTTGTCTTTATATTTATTTATCTTATGCAATAAAGGTCTTCCTACCCTTTTCAGGAATGCAGAAGTATATAGAAAGGTATATGGGTGCAAAGTCAGTTGAACAACTCCACTAGATTTTTGGTTTTTGTTTGCAGATGATAATTTCTTGTTCTTCAGAGAAAATGCACATGAATACATAATTATAAAACATCTTGTACATTAATAAGAGGCAACCTCGGGGTAGGCCATTACTTTTCATAAGTTAGGCATATTTTTTAATAGAAATGAATTCATACAACACATATCAGATATCTTAAGTGTTCATTCTCTTTTAAACCAAGAGAGGTGCTTAGGTTAACCATTACTTATTAGAAGGAATAAAAAGGCTGTATTTTATTTTATTATGGATAAAATATGGACACAGATTCACAAGTGGAGGAATCTCATGTTATCTAAAGAGGACAAGACAATTATAATAACTTTAATTGCTTAAAAACTTCCAAATTATAGTATGAAAGTCTTTTTTATCCCATTAATATTATGCGAGGAGTTGCAATGAATGATGAATAGTTTTTTATAGGAAAATAGTTAAGAGAATGGACAAGGCATGATATAAAAAAGATGATAAAGATTTTGTAGGAGAAAAGATGATTAGGGTATGAGCTTTCAATATCTACATAACTTCAACTTGGTTTGCTTGGAAAAATAGGATAGAAGTTAGTAGCTGAATTACATTCGTTGGTGAGTTAAATCATCAAAGCTAAATATTATTTAAGAGGAGATTTTTTAAATGCCAATATAAAGTATGAACCAAGCTTTGTTTGGCATAGCATTCTTAGTTCTCAAGGGGTTTTAATGAGAGGTTATGGATGGCATATCAGCAAGGGTATGAAGGTGAATATATAGAAGAATCCGTGGTTGCGTATGGGTCCTAACAAATTGCTGAGAACACCTATGAATAAAGGGTTGGATTCGTTGTAGGTATGTGATTTGATGATTGAGGGGGTAGCTTGTTGGGATGAAAATTTAGTTGAGACATTGTTTTCTTTAGTAGATGTCATTACCAGCTTAAGCATCCCATTATTAACAAGACAAGTAGATGACAACGTCATTCGGCACCATACCAAAACAAGTGTTTACTCATGTAAATCTAATTATCATGTTGTCGTTGACATCAACAAGCCTAATCTAAAAGATCATATAGATAAAGATTGACGTAAATTATGGAATTTGAAGATCCCTCAAGGATTAAATATTTCCTTTTGATGTGTGTGTGTCAACATTGCATTCTAACTCATAATCGATTAATTAAAAAGGGGAATGGAAGTTCCTGGTATCTATGTTGTTTGTGAAGGGATAGGAGAATCTAGAGAATATATCTTCTTTCAATGCCTATTCAAAATTGCATATTGATAAAAGATGGATATGGTCTTTTTATATATCAGGCACGATTAACTTTCAATGGTTATTCTTTATTTTGTTTGCTATATTGTATGATGAGAAAATAGAACATGTTGCTATAATTACTTGATTGTTATAGAATAAAATGGTGATGGTATCAAGTGTAGTAAATAGGAGAATTGATTTTTTAAATCAGTGAAAAATAACTTATGTATATCGAGATGGATCCTTTATCAATCATTCTTTTATGTCATGATAGGAGAAATCAACACTAGGAAAGTTGACATACAACATTCATGCAATGTTTTTTTTATAATATCTTTATAATAAAAGCATGATATATTGTTAAGGATAATGATAATATAATTAACTGTTGTGGAAACCATACGTTTATAGGAGTATTCACTTCAGCAATAAAAAATGTATTGGTATTAAAAAAGGTTCTATAAAAACTGATTTTATTAAATATGAGGTGTGTTTTTATGAAAACTAATTCAAAATTTGTAATAAATCACCTAGCATCTAACAATACTGATTTTAACAAGTTTGATTTGATGATTGAAGATTGTCAGATCTTATTAGATATTGTTGAAAATTATCAAGTGTTGCATGTTAAAATAAATGTAAATGTTGTTGTTCATGCGTAACTATAAATTATAAAAATTATGATTGTGATATAAGCTAGCCTTGTTCTTATATTTCTTTTCAATGTAATGGTGATTGATAATTATAAATTATAAAAATAGTAAAACTATTAAAAGTAACATGTTTCTGGGAAAATTATTTTTCATGAAAAATAATATAAACCTTGTTCAAATTTTCAAAAAAGGCATTGAGCCCAAATTAGCGCAAAATTTTAAGCCTGTGAAATAAGCTACGTGGGCCTAGAGAGAGAGTTTCGAAATCCGAATTCTTTCGGATTTTTTTTTATTAATTTCTTTTCTTGTGCAAAAATTAAAGTCTCATAAAAGAAAAGCTTCTAATGTCCTTCACCATACAGATCACAGGCACCTTACTTCTTCCTCGATCGAAACTAAAGTGTAAGTCTTTCTTCCTGAAAACCACTTGTTCTCACAGATTTGTAATGGGTTTTTGTTAATAATCTTTTTTGCTTCTTTTTTGTTTATTTTTTAACACAGCTTAATCAATGGAGTCTAATTCTGAAACCAGACAGCACACCCTTTTGAGCTCTGACTATGGCATTCAAAGAACCCAGTATGCCACCCTTACCATCTCTTTCTATATCTGTCAATGTTTAAGTCTATTTTTTGTTGCAAAATAGACACATTTTAGGGATTTAGCAGTTTAGTTTTTGAGTGGATTTGTTGTTCTATGTCTATGTAGGTACCCATACGTGACTGGAACATCTGTTGTTGCTTTGAAATATAAAGATGGGATTTTGATGGCTGCTGATATGGGTGGTTAGTTTCTCTAACAACCCACTATCTTGTTATAATCTTTGTGGGTTTGTTTGTTATGCTTGCCTGTGGATATGCTTATGGTTAATAGGGGAAAATGTGATCTTTGGCCTTATTTATACCTTATAAGTGAACCGTTTACAAATAATTGCCTCAAAGTACTATAATAAGTCCTGTTGTTGATACATTTTGTGACATTGATAATTGCTAGGTTCTTATGGGTCCACACTTCGATATAAGAGTGTGGAGAGAATTAAGCCTGTCGGGAAGCATTCTATTATCGGTGCCAGTGGAGAAATAAGTGATTTCCAAGAGATTATGCGATATCTCGATGAGCAAGTGTAAGTTTTAGGTTGTGTTGTTGGGGGAAGAATTCATTTTTTTCCCTGTATTGTTGTTTTTTTCTCTTATGTTGTTTTAATTGTTGGTTTATATTGTTTAATATCTGCAGCCTGAATGACAACATGTGGGATGACAGAAACTCTTTGGGGCCCAAAGAGATTCACAGCTATTTGACCCGAGTTATGTATAATAGGCGTAACAAGTTTGACCCACTTTGGAATACACTTATTCTCGGTGGTGTGAAAAAAGGACAGAAATTTCTTGGCATGGTAAGGCATCTGTTGCATAGGTTGTTTTCTTTTCTGTTTTTAAACCTCGAAACAGGAGGGGTGAAAAGGTGTGTGCATTTTGGGGACATGGGTCAATTGTGTTTTTGAGTGTGTTGCAGGTCACTATGATAGGAGTAAACTTTGAGGAGAATCATATAGCAACTGGATTTGGAAATCACATGGCACAGCCATTACTTCGTGCTGAGTGGCATGAGAACTTGACATTTGAAGAAGGTGTTACATTACTGGAGAAATGCATGCGAGTGCTTCTGTATCGTGATAGATCTGCTGTCAACAAGTTTCAGGTTCTGCTCCTTTTTCCTTGCAACTGTATGAGATTAACGTGTTATGGAATGCAATTTCTAGGAAAGTAATTGAATTTCATGTTAACTTGCTGGAATTGCTGCAATGTTTGTGGGTGCATACGTTATTGCTGTATTCTCTTTTAGTTCAGTTTTTTTTCCCTTCTCCGCTACTCTTCGAGAGAACCTCTTGATCATGCTTTCTCTTTGCTTTCGCTGAATTGTCACTGTTTTCAAAATTTAGATAACAACGTGGTTATCAGAATCTTATCACCTCTTAAGATTTTTTTATGTTTAAATTCTCTCTACCTGTCCGCAAAATTGGTGCGGAGCAAAATCAGAATGACAAGCTTTTAATTAGTTAAACACCTTGAAATAATGTTATTTTAGTGTTCTCCCCTGATCCTAGTTAAAAAAGCAACCCTAACAATTTTTGGCAACACTAACTTAATAATGGGGTGAGAAAGATGAAATGAATCATTTTATTTTGTTGAAACTTGAAATAATCTCAATTCTTTTCAGCTCTTGTATGATGGGAATAGACAGCATTTCATAATGCTTTGTAATGAATAGAGACTTTATGAAGGGAATGCTGTGCGTGTTAAAATCTTGTCCACTTGGATCTGCTGAGCATCCATGCAGTCACACACCTTAGGAAGACTTTTTTATAGTAAAAGAACTTCAATCTGGTAACTGCGGCAAGCCGCTTTGGGACTCCCTAAAGTATATCTTACAGGGGCTTAAACTGGATGGCTGAGGAACATCTTGATCTTGTCATCTTTCTATAGCTGTTTGTGCTCAGGGTCTTGTGCATGTCTAATATGACTAAGGATAGAATGCAACTAAAGGAAACCATTCTTCCAATTATTGTTGTTGGGTATGTTTTGTTAGTTCTAATATCAGATAATTACGTGAAACAATGTATTGTCTGATTTGACATCTGACAAGTTCACAATTTCCCAACTGCAGATAGCTAAGATTACTGAAGAAGGTGTAACAATTTCTCAGCCTTACGCATTGAAGACATTCTGGGGATACAAGGCATTTGAGAATCCAACTGTTGGTGCTGAAGGATCATGGTAGTCAGCTAGGAAGCAGCCACTTCGGAAATCTTCACTCAGTCTACAAATGGGACCTAAAGACATGATGAGCTGGAAGTTATTGAAAGTCCTTTTAATGTTCAATTAATGTTTAAAACCTTGAATTGTTAGCTTGGCTTGATCTATGCCACACCAAAATTTCTGGTTTAGGGTTGGTGGCTGGCTTGTGAGGAAAAGGAATATTTTGAAATCATCTGAACTATAAATGCTCATCTTCCTTTACTCTAGCTGCTACTTTTACAGCTATGAATTATGAAGTTTGCTTTTGTAATTTTTTGTTTTTAAATTTTTTAATTTTTTAATTTTGCATCATCAAGTAAGGGTTTAATTTATTTGATGCGTTCATGTCATTCCAATTAAAAATGGTGGGCTGGGAGGAAAAGCTAAGGGTGATTGTGAATAATAAACTTTTCTAAGTTAAAGTTTTGTAAATGTAGCAGGTTTGATTGATCATTCAATTCATGTTATACTTTGGAGGAGTTGTGATTCGGTTGTGAATTTTGCTTGTATTGGCAGCTCTCAGCTCCAGTGGCTTGGTTTTTTCGGCCCTTCTCTTCCCTTTCTCTTCTCCCCTCTCTTTACTTTCCTGGGTTCAATTGGCTTTTCTTTCCTTTACCTCTTCTTGTTTCCTTCTCTCCTCCCCTTTTCTTTCCTTCTTTTGTCATTTTGGAGCCCAAACAGGCTTTGTTTATCTTGCCCCGTCACATACGAAGAAGACACTTGACCTGAAATGGGTAATGGTCCTATTTGATCTATGCTATGCTGAGGAGCTTTCATTTTTTTATAAAAAAAATTATATATGCAAGGTTTTTTATGGAAGGTTTTTTTTGATAAATATTTATATATATAATCTAATGAACCAAGAACTATTCATGTTAACAAAAATCATTAACAATAAATATTAATGAAAATAAAAAAATTTAATAAATATGAGTTTCAAGATATTTGACATTGCAATAAGAGTAATATATACGTATGCTCTGAACTGGTTATATTAAATAAAAAAAATAACATAAATTAAATAAAGATACGAATAAAACATACTTACACTATGAGTTAAGATGTGTATTAAAGGTTGTTGAAAAATAAAAAGATCATATGATTGATTTATATGTGTTGAAAAAATAAATTATGAGGTAAATTATATAAGTTGTGAAATAATAATATTAATATAAATTGAATATATTTATGAAGTGAAAATAATTATGAAATAACTTGATATGAAAAGAGACATTATATGAAAGTGTTTGAAGGAAACCAATCAATTTTAAAATTGTAAGGAATAAATTATATAATAATGAGTTAAACTAAACTAAAAATGAAACAATTATCATGATACAATAATGACAATATAATAAATAAAATGATGGGAAAAAAGTTTATCAGAAAATAATAAAAAATAAAAAATATTAAAAATTAATATAAGATTGGTGTTTTTAAAGAAAAAATTACAAAGTTGGTTTTCATCATAAAATTATTAAACACTAATAACTAGGATAATAATTAGGATGATTAAAATATTTAATATAATTTATTTTATAATTTTATGCTCTGAGGATATCCATTTTGTAAGTTCATCAAGCTACCCTGTATTAATCATAAAGAATATTTTTATTTAAAAAAAAAACTTATAATGAATGTAATTTTTAATAAGAATTGTAATAAATTATATATATTTATAAAATTATTGAGATATATATATATATATATATATATAATTCCCAGAATTTTTACATATTTGGTCATCGAAATCAAGTAAAAACGTTAGAGGGTGGATGGTTGATAATCAAATTTAAAAAAAAAAAAACAGAAGTTGAAAAGTAAATCCTTTTAAAAAAAAACAGAAGTTGAAAAGTAAATCCACCGTCAAATATAAAAATATAAATAGTGGTGTGTGCCCGTTATATTAGCCGTATCTTTTAGATTTTTATATAATTATTATGAAGGAAATATTCAACCAGGGCCCACTCTCGATTCCTATCAGAAATCATAAATCCCGAGCCAGAGACGTTACGGGCATGACTTGTCCGCAGGCAATGACTTTAGAGCAACCTGTGGACCCTCCGAATCTTTTTTTCTTTCTATTTTGTCCCCAATCATGATAAAGAGGCTCTCAACCATTTGGGAACATGCTGAGGTGTAATTATATCTTTATTTTACTGATTAATCACGAGATCATTATTAAAAAAAAAAAACATTGATGGAGCAAAAACTATAATTTATAATTTTTTTAAAATTTCTTTTCTCAATCCGGAATAGCTATCTGTCTTCAGGAAACATTGAATCTCCCCCCCCTCCCCCCCGAATGATCAACAGAAGGCGCAAAGGTGAGAAGTTCAAGCATGGATCCAACGGCAGGCTGCAAGCCGTTGCAACATGCAAACTTGAGGTTATGTGAAATTTCTTCATTCTCTGGATGCTTGTTGCTACAAAATGTAACTAGAAAACAAAGTTCAATGGCATTTTCAATCTCTATCTTCTTATCAGAACTATTGTTTCCCGCAAATAACACTGTCCTACAAGGTCATGAGAACTGAAATTTTTTTTATTACTCCTACATCCTACCAATCCAAGCCCTAAGAACAGAGAGGAAGCATGGGGCATGATTTGCGGCCTCAACAAATAAATTACAGCACAGGGGCATAATTTAAATACGCGATGCAAAATTTAAAGACAAATATTGTTAGCCATCATACTTGCAGAGGTTCTCAAATCCCATGTATTCATGACGATGAATCTTTCCTATCATGTTTGCTACACCAACACCACCTGCGAAGGGAAGCGAAGAACTCTTTGAGAATTCATAGAGTTCAAAGAATTTATAATTTCAGGCCTCAACTAGCAGGAAATAGAAGAGCTCACCTAGTGAGATTGCACTGATAAATATGGTAGATGCTAGAATGAAGATGATAAGAGATGCCCTTCCAAACATAATGATCAACCTTCTCACAATATGCTGCCCTATGAAGGCAGCAAATGTAGCAACAGCTACGAAGTAAACAGCTGCCAGAAAATTTGAAATATTTGAGTCCATTGGAGCTAGCATAAACTACATTCCAACATACCTTAAGAAAATAACCATATCTATCACTTTACAGGGTGTCTTTAGACTGATAAGAATAAATAAAAGAAAGGTTGTATGGATGTTGAGGGCACTTACCATAAGGAACAGGAAAACGTTTCAGAAGGTAGTATTCCACAACAGACATGGATGACGAGAAAGTCATTGCAAAGGTGGCAGTTGCACTTGAGACCTGGATGGAAATCGTAAAGAAATTACCAAACTATTTGGCCTTTCATATGGCTTTGTGATCCGTAAAAATCCCGCCTCTTAGAAATATACAAGCTTCAGTTTTTCCAGTTTGTAGCTTTACACATCATACACTATTACACACTAGAATGTAATAAAACAAAACAAGCTAACCTGAGGAGGGATTCCGAGCTCCAAAAATAGTGGACCCATGATAAATCCTCCTCCCAGTCCAAGCAGCCCACCAACTACTCCAGCTAGTATACCAAAGAGACAGTAGATCACAAGCTGAAGGACTGTGAAATTTGTGTCTTCAGTTCCCTTGGATGCAATTATTCTGTGTCCCTTGTACAGACTGACTGCTTCATACATTGAAACCCCAACAGAAACTGGGATCTGGAAAACAAAGAAAGGATGATTCAAAGAACTGTTTTATTAAAGAGGAGGACAGATTTTGATGCTACAAGATCATTCCCCATTTCACATACAGACACAAAAAAGAAAGCACAAAAAGAAAGGATAGAGACCACTGTTGTGATAAAAGTACCTGTAACAAGTTTAACACCCAATATGCTGTCGAACAGGTAGATGTACCCTCCTGTTACCAAAAGAAAAGGGTTTCTCATTATGTATACATTGATTGAATATAAGCTAGGAAAACAAATGTAGGATGTAATCATTATGATAAAGCACAACAAACCTTTGTAATCTGCAGCACGAGGAATGCAACCCAGACAAAAACAAGAAGTCCAAGTTCTTTCCAGTAAACATTCTCAAGAATAGAGACCTATGGTAATGAATTGTATTAGTTTTGAGAACTCTTTGATGCTGATTTCAGCTGACAAAGTGTACTCACCTCTTCTTCCTTGTCAGCCTTTTGAGGGCTGTTGCTCGGGCCACCAGGAAGAGGCTTGTATTCCACTTCCCCAGCGCTGGCACCTGGTACAAAGGAAAATATATACTGAGAAGCAGGAATCACTCGCTGGGCTTCCATAAAATACGGAAACAGCAAGTCAACTCACCATTTGACTCCAAACGCTTTGCAGCCTCCTATAATGGGAGAAAAAAGGTGTCATTCAAATGGTTAGACTTAAATTTAAATGTTTCTAACACATAACTACGTGAAGCTCTAGTCACAAAGCCTTCCTTTTGTTTTGAAGTTCATGAAAGCACAAATATATCCTCATGGGGCAGTTACCTTGGCAGCTTGAGGACAGTGCCACATATAATTTGTTCTAAAATTAATGATTGAAAACCTTGATAATAATAAGCAGGCAATGAAACAATTTCAGTTTGAAATGCAGCCTGTGCACGCCCAAAACCTATGCATAAATCATGAACAGGCTGATGAGATTACCCGTTTCATTATTGTTTCCTTTTTCCATGTTTCAACACCCTTCAAGAATGCCTTTGTTGATGTGCCTGCAAGCCATTGCAATTAGCAAAAAGAATTAGAAGAGAGAAACATGAGTAAATTCCAATGAAATTCAACTAACATTACCTAAGAAAAGAATGATGAGCAGTACTGTGACCATCCAGTCTGCAAAAATCACATTTAAAGCAACGCCTAGACTAATACCAAGCATAAGCATTGGTTGGATGAGCAGAGCCAGATCATAGTCAATAAGGGGCATGTGAAGTGTCGGATGCCTTAGCTTAAGATTATAGTAAACTGTTGAGATTGCTGCACCCATAATCATACCTGCCAAATTTATATATACCAAAAATCCATTACTTTGTAAGTAACATATGAAAGAGCAATTTATTTTCCAACAAACCAGCCCTTTCACATTTTCTGTAAGCTACCTCACTGTTCACACGACACATTGCATCTAGTTAACAGCTTACTAGTCACACTGATAAATCACAGCAGATGGATTAATTACCCATACTTCACTGTGCAATCTGAATCGAAAAAAAAGGCATTTGTAAATGCTGAAAGTCTCCTCCACTGTTCAGTAAAGCCCATCCCTCCTTAACATACAGAGGCCACATGGACAAATAAAATTTCAACTGTCACAGA